CTGTGCTCCGCATTGCGGATCCCAACCTCACGTTCGTAGTCACTACGGACGCGAGCCAGTTTGGGATTGGTGCAGTGCTGCAACAAGATGATGGCGATGGTCTGCGTCCGCTTGAATATTACAGCAAACGCATGCCCAACCACAAGGTAGCCACTTCCACATACATGCGGGAGCTCTACGCCTTGCGCGAGGCGCTCACGCATTGGAAGCACTACCTCTTGGGTCGCCACTTCAAGGTCTATTCAGATCGATCATAAGACCTTGCAATGGATTAAGACACAAACTGATCTCTCTCCAACTCTGACCCGCTGGCTGCATGACATTGATGTTTTCAACTTTGAACTAAAACATAAGAAAGGCTGCTATAATCGTGTTGCTGATGCTCTGTCGCGCCATCCCGAGTATTTGACTTGCCTTGTGGACTCGTACGACCTCCGGAGGAAACTGAAGGAGGATCTGGTCGAGCACAGTGCCAAGGATCCAGACCTTAGTCCCATCCTTGAGCAGCTCAAGGCTGACCCCAACAGTCAGCCTGATTTTCATGAATGCGAGGGTCTTGTATTTCGTCGGTACGGAAAGTTTGACCGTTTGTGTGTACCCAACCATGCGCCTCTCCGAACTCACTTCTTGGATCTGGCGCACGGTCGGAGTGGACATTTTGTCTTTGAGAAGACTTATGGAAGTCTTCTGCAACAATTTGACTGGCCAGGAATGAAAGGATCTGCTTAGAAATTTATTGTTGAATGTCAAGTATGCCAAAGGATCAAGGTTCACAGGCATTAGCCTTATGGCCTACTGAGACCTCTTCCCATTCCCGATGGACCCGGCGAGTCGATTTCCATCGACTTCACGGACATGGGAAAGGTGAGTGAGGCTGAAAATTCACAAGTCATGGTCATTGTGGACCGCTTCTCCAAAGTTCTGAACTTGATTCCTCTCCCTCCTCACGCCCCGACTGAACTTGTTATAGAAGAATTCCATCAGCAGTACATTCTGCAGTCCGGCGTCCCGAAAACTATTGTCAGTGATCGGGACACCAGATTCATCAGCAAAGATTGGAAAGACTTCACATCTCAGATCTACGACATCAAACTGAACAGGACTTCTGGTCGACATCCCGAAGCCAACGGATTGGCTGAGGAGATCAACCAGACTGTCATCCAATTGCTTCGCGCATTAATTGTTCCAGATCAGAACACGTGGGACAAGGAATTGCACAAAGTGAAGGGGATGTACAACAACTCCATTCACTCTGCGACTGGTGTGACACCAAACCAATTGCAGTATGGATGGCCAATGCGTAATCCCCTCTCCTATCTGTTCCCTGAACGGTCACCTGGTCTGATGCCCGGCATGCCTGGCTACAATGCCAAGTACGCACGCTTGCTCAAAGCTGCTACAGCAGCTATGAACAAGCGCCAGCATGCCATGATCAAACATGCCAATAAGCGACGCAAAGAAGAAAAGTTCAAAGTAGGGGATTATGTTTGGGTCAAAATGTCTGAGTTTTCTGATGAAGAGGGCATATCACGGAAGCTTCTTCCACTGTACTACGGCCCTTGGCAGATTCTGAAGGTAGTCGGGGATGATTTCGGTCCTTCGTATGTGATTGACGTGCCTCCTCATCTGCGCACGTATCCAGTCTTCCATGCCTCCAAACTGTTCCCACACATTGATGATGAGACTTTTCCCTTCCGTGATCCTATGATACCTCGCCCTATTGACGGCGGCCATGAGATTGACAGAATCGTTTCTCAAGAGGGGAGAGGAAGGAATAGACAGTACAAAGTTCATTTCCTCTACCACCCGTTGAACGAATTCTTCTGGATCGACCGGAAAGAACTGATAAAGAGTGCTCCACGTGTTGTGAACGCATATGAACGACAGATTGTTGACGGACAGGCCACTAAGTTTGCTGCAAAACTCACTCCGTTCGGACTCGCTAACACTCTCTTTTTGATCTATGCCTATGACGCCTTCTGTGCCGACTCTGACTGAGTTAC